CAGCAGGCAGAAGATGAATAAAACAACTCCCCCCCCATTATTTTTAAGAGCTCATGATTTTAAATCTGATCTCCTGTTTCTTTGAAGGAAGATTCATGATTTTTTTTTTTTTTAATGCTTGTGGTTGACAGCACTAGCCAGCCATTGCTTATAAATCCCATTTTCCCTAGACCTCTTCAGTAAGGCAGAGTTTCCTGGAGTGTATAGGTACAAGAACAGAGCAGAGGCTTGTGCACAGGAGGAAGAAACACTAATGGTGATGTTAATCTGTGATGCCCTCCCTCTCCCGATTGGAGTGGGCAGCCCTTGTATTTCACCAGCTGTCCTCTGCTCCCTGGCCACAGCCCTTTTTACCTCCCAGTTTGGTGACCGCAAGATTGCTTTCAAAGCAATTGCTGAGCAAAGCAGTTAGCCTAGCAGGGAGAGGAGGAAGCTTTACATATTGCTCCAAGGCTTCTCAAAGCTCTATAAGTAAGCAGGGATAAAATGCCAAGGGAAGGTACAGTAATGTAAAAATGATGTTGTAGCCATGATAATACAGAAATTATGCAAGAGGTAAGGATTTCTTAGGATGATATTTTTGTATTGGAACAACTATGTAGGTGGGATAAAGTCAGAAAAGCTTTTGAATACAAGACAATTCTTCCTCAGGACTCTAATCACATAGTGAAAAAAGTAAAAATTGACCACAGCTGTCCTTGGCAATCCCCAAGGTGGAAGCCATGGAGACAAACCAATCCTGCCGCTGCTGGGCCACTCCCACTGAGTGGGGTGAACTGATCAGGAAGGCAGAGCAGAAAAACAGAAGAATAGAAACAGTTTAGACATAGCTCTGAACCAGTTTGAGGACACACCCCAAGGGAACTGAAGGTAAAAACAGATGTGGATTTCTCTCAGGAAAAAGCCTGAGGATCCTGGGATCCTACAAGCCCATTGTCCTATTTTAAGTACTGTGAAGTATCTGAGAGAACAATTTTCCTTTAGACAATCGAGGCTGATATGAATTAATTACCATTCAGGCTGAGAGTGTTAAAGATTGAATCTTGCTTGTTTTGAAGCGAATCAAAGCCTAGGACAATCAAACTAAGGATAAACCCAAAGTCTGTTTTTGACCCTGAGAAAGTGAGAAGAGGTGGGTTTGTAGTAAATTGGGTATGTCAAAGAAGGTTATAAAGTAAAACGGTGCTGGGGTAAGAGATGGGAGATGTGAATGCAGAGATATGTCTGCGGCAGGAAGTGCTGCTGTGAAAGGTCAGAAGGAAGAGGATTAATCATCCTTTAGAAATATTACTTTACCATAACTAAAGATAAAATGGGCCTCTACCTTCCCTCTTGCTGGTATACAGAGATCTCTATACAGATTGGTTACATAGTCTGTTTCTATTGCTTGAATCTGATTTTTTTTCTCTTTGTTTTTAATGAATCTTGGTTTCCCTTAGATGATCTGCACTTTAGACTACATTGAGGTGAAGTCACAGTGTATGCCCTTGAAGGGAGGTAGTTCTTGACAAATTGGAAGAAAATCATACTTATACCAACGTATTTTCTTGAGGTAGCCCCTTAAGTGTCCCAGGTACTAACTTCTGTTGAGGAAGGTGGAGCAAAAAAGCCAGTGGACCTTAATGTGATGGGAATAAAGGACTTAAGAGTAGAGGGGTCAAAGTGTGTGTGTGTGTGTGTGTGTGTATATATATATATATATATTATGGCATTCTGAATGTGTATGACAAAAGTCATAATTACCTTCCATTGTACAGGAGGGGACATTGACAAATGAGATAATGCCGGAGAGGTATCGGTGGTTCAGCTTCCACAAGCATCTGATAAAGGCATTCTTCTCATCACAGCTGCCAGCTGTCCACTTGTAAACCTTATCAAACTGCAGCTCAAAATCCAGAGTTTCCTAAACACCAATAACAAGAGCTACATTTGATTAGCGCTGTGACCAGAAGGTAGTTACCACACAATGTACACTTTAACATACAGGAGAGTAACATATTTTAATAAATGCAGTGGGTGTTTTAAAAGAGAAAACACCCTCTGTGTCTAACACAGCAGGACCCCATATCCTACAGATCACTAGGCTAAGGGCTAATGGGACAAACCATTTTTCCAAGTTGCACCTCTGAGATTAGCATTTTTAATATCACCAGGAGGTCATGTTGCAAATCAACATTCTGGCAGGGGGTTAATCTGAACTGAGTTCACTGATACAGAACATAACTTGATATTAACAATTCAGTAGCAATTAAGCACTGGCCCAGTCATACCACCTTGGGTGCTGATATTGTTAGATCTCAGACTAAACTGCACTGGGCGCAGAAAGCAAATGGAAGGGAGACATCGAAGGAAAACCCAGCTGCTACCAGCATTGTTGGTGACTCAAACACCTGGTAGGGGGTGTTGTGCTAGTGGTGTGCTCACTATTAAAATGTGTCGGCTTGTGATCACGATGAACCAGATTTTCATTCTCTCCTCTCCCACTTCTCACCTGCTTGTTGCCTCTTATTAGTTATGCCATATCTAATGTGAGATTGACTTCAAGGGAGTTGCCCAATTGGTCAGAAAGAAGTTGGGCAGGAGTCTTCTTGTTAAGCTTTCATGTTCTAAATCAACTGTTGGTTGGCAGTTGCTGATGGTGCTTTCCCCTGAGTTTCTCCCTTGCTGGGAGAGACTCTCTTTTTTTTGGATTTAACCTAGCATCAAAGGATACAGCGTAAGATATGACCTGGAAATCCATGTCACTTGGTGCTTTGGCATGGGTAACATATAGAGAGAGGCTGTGTGTGCAGAAAGGGGAGTGTTTTAGAGTGGAAGTTTGGAAACCTCTTCACTGAGGTGAAGACTGGCCCTGTTGGCTGCTTACAGGGTCAGGGAGGACTTTGTTCCCTGATAACGTAGTATTCCGCATTCTCAGTTTTTATGTTTAAAAAAAAAAAAAAAAAAAAAAAATCTCGGAATTTTTTGGGGTTTATCTTCAAAACATAAAAACCAGGATGAAATCAGGATAAAAGGGAAAAAAAATCAGTTAAACTGCAGAAAAATCGGCAGGGAGGGAGGAAGGAAGGCTGGGACTAGAGAAGGGGCAGGGGGAGGGGTATGGTACAGCCGGTCAGCTGCTTCTGGGGCTGCAGCAGGAAGCAAAGCAGGGGGAGTAGTCAGTGGGTGCGGGGCAGGGAGGTGCAGCTTTTATTGCTATGCACTCCCCAGCAAGGCTGTGGTCTTGGGGGGCCTGTGCTGGGCTCTTCCCCAGGGGCACATGCCCCTGGATCAGCAGCAGGAAGCACATCACACCATGCCCTGCTTTTCTTTCCTAGCTGTGTTTGTGCCCCTCCCCCTGCTGCAGCAGCCTGCTGCCGGTCTGCCCTGGTATTTGCGGGGAGTGGTGCACAGCCAGATGGGGGCGGGGAGGGGGACCTGCCCCTGGCAACAGCACCTCCTGTCCCACCTGGGGTCGGAGCCCGGAGCCCTGCACCCCCAGGCAGTGGCTCCAGCCCTACAGGCCTGTGCAGAGCTGCTTGGTGTAGTGCCCACCACAGAGAATGGGCCCAGGCTCTCCTGCCTGCCCCCCACCCCGGTGGGGCTCGCAGCTCCCAGCACTCAGGGAAGGGCCGAAGCCGATGATGCTGGGGTGCAGCTCGGACCCACCTGCACCGGGAGGAATTCCTGTGGCCTGTCCCACCCCACCCCACCCCGAGTCAGAGCTGGGTGCCCCACATCCCCAGGCAGCAGCTCTAGCCACCCTCTCCTGGACCTCACGTGGCCAGCTCCATTCTTCCAGCCCCCTGCTCCATATGCGGCCGTGGCCATGTCCCCCCCCCGCTATCTGGCTGGAAACCTGTGCCTCAGGTAACTAGCACAGTGGCACTTTTAGCTTACCAGCACCACCCATTTTTCAGTACAAATCCCTGTTAACTAGCACAAGTGGGGAATGCCAGTTTACAGGGATATGAACTGAAAAATGTGAGTAAATCAGTAAAAACTGACTTAAAAAAAATTAGGGAACTTATCAGTGAAAATTGGTAAAAACTGAGAATGCAGAACACTACTGATACACAATTGGCCAAATGAATTCTAGGCTATTTTCCCCTGAATCTTCAGTGATTGGGGTCCTGTCTCCAGCTGGGGCCAATCAGAGTGGACCTTGCTTTGCTGATGCATGGCTGATGTGCCTTGTTTTCAATCAAAATCAAACTGATTACTTGATTTCGGGCCAGGAAAGAATTTTCCCCCAGGTGTCAAATTATCATGGAGCAGGGGGCTTTTTGGGCCCTCTTCTATAACACAGAATAGGAATAATTAGCTACAGCCTGCTGGGAACCACTTACTTAATAAATTCCCTGTCATGGCAGGACCCTTGCACCTTGTTGCCACCTGGTTGTTCCTGTTTTCTGCTTGTGGCACAGAACAGTTTAGTTTCCTGAGAATTGTAATGCTTCCATCTAACCCAGGTTATTGGGCTCACTGCAAGGTCAACAGGGTAAAATGTAATGGCCTGTCAGACAGGAGGTCAGACTAAATGATTTAGTCCTCTCTGGTCTTAAATTTTAAGAAATGAGGAAACCCCACCATTCACTCTAGCTCCCAGGCTAAAATTGCCTATGTTACTTTGTATCACTTCCAAAAGCCTTTCCCTAAATCTTAAATTGACCTGCCAATACTGCTACAGGGGACAGTGCTGGCTGCCTCTGGGGAAGGCATGATAGAATAAGGGGACAGAGCAATAGCAAAGGAAGGTCTGCAGAGACAGGGGTCCTGAGTTAGGAATATTCCACTGAGACTAGCTCCTTCCTCCAACAGTTTATTAGCTCAGCAGCACTGCATGATCCCATCTTCTAGAGAGTTCGCAGGCTGCACTTATTATTGATACTACTACTACTAATAATAATAGGCTCAGGCTTTATGACGATTTATTCAGTCCTGTGACACTTTGCAGCATGCTTTCTAAACACCTTAAAGTGATATATCACACCCCTGCACTACTTTACAGGCTGGATAGCAGCATCTGGAACAGCTTTTAACACCACCGTCTGAGGGGGATTTACAACTGGCATGGTTTATAGCATGCCTTATACCTTATAAGGAGTGATTAAAGCAGGAGGCTATTCAGTAATCGCCTCAAATATTAATACAGTTTCTGTCAAGAGAGGCATAACTTTAAAAGCACTGCCAAATGTGCACTATCAGGGCTTTGGCAGCACCTCATGGAACATGAGTCCAGCATATGTGAGCAGGCCCCAAGTCATTGGCGTTCATTGCACAGAGCACAAGCTGTGCACAGGCTTCATAATCATGTCTGGTTTTTAGCATTCATTTGCCAGTTAGGGTCTCATCTTTCACACTGCCACTCAAGGAGGTTTTCCCAGAGATGTGCTAATTAAAAATATCCTCCCTGCTAATAGTGGTTTTACATGAGCCATTTGTTTTCAGGGGTCTCCACTGATTCAGGGACAAGCAGAGGATAGGGGAACTGTATGGGTTCATTCTGAGGAGGGAAGGATTGGGTTTTGCACTATTTTTGTGGGTTGATTTACAAAATGGGATTGTGGGACCATTACTGGGGACATGTACATTGTAACTCTTCTTGAGAGGAGGATGGACTTCCATCCCAGGGGCCTGCAGTTCTATGGTCTCTTCCCTGGGGGCATGAAGAGGATGAATTTGTGCTAGTTTCGTCCTGGAGGGTGGTCTCTTTTGCTGACCAGATGGCAAGACCACAGCTGTTTATAGTTAAGGGTATAATACATAGCACACACAGGCAGGTTGGCTACTCATCCTAATTACACAGGCCTACCCTGCTTCTTGCCAATCAGACTTACAGGAAAATTAAAAAGTTTTGAATGGATTCTGGGAGCTGTACCATGATAATGCAGATGTCTTCATATGTTGGCCTGATGGATACTGCAACCATTAGGCTGCAAGTTCATTTTTAACAAGGAAACGTCATGATGGAGACACATTGCAATAGCTGATTCAGCTTCCCGGTGAGATTATTATGTCCTGCATAATAAATCCAAATTATAGGCAGTGTGAGCACTCTGGGAGGTATTTCTGGTGCTCAGCTAACTGTTTTCCCTCTTCTGTGAATGGCTGCTGCTGTTGAAGCTACATGGTTTACATTTCCTGTTTTAATCATTTAACATTATTTTCCTCAAATGTCTATGTTGACACTTGAAGGTAACTGCTAAGTCTTTATTTTCTATGAACCCTCCGTTTAAATCTCCAAGCAAAGTGCCAGCAGAGGCAACCATTTTGGCTAGGGGCAGACATTACACATAGCCTGGTCTAAATGATCAGAAACTGGTTTAAACCTGTAACAGAACAGATGTTCAGTGCACATAAACCAGTTTGAAAATGGCTGAAACTGGTTTGAGATAAACCTGGTTGAATGTAGTATCAGACTTAACTGATTTGGCTCCAGACGCTTTATGCAATGTCTGTCCCAGACCCCTTGCTGGTTTAAGTTAAATCAGAGTTATCAGCATCCCAGCGTACTCTCTGGGCTGGTTGGGGCTCTTTGCTACACTGCAGGGCTGGCCCCTCCCTTCTGCTCCCTGGCTGGACAGCTTGTGCCTGCAAGCTTGGCACAGACTTACAGGCACAGCAGGGTCTGCTGGCTTTCCTGTACCCTCCTCTCACCACTCGCTGCTTAAACAGAGATCCCTTCTCCTCCTGTCTGCCACAGCAGGGACTGTAGCCAGCATGTGATATGCTAGCTAATGCCAAGAGGTGTCTGTGTGTGTCTCTCTCTCCAATTTCACTGGGAGAGGAAGACAGAACAGTGACCACTTAGGGCTTTTAGAGCTAATCAACAGGTCAGCTAGTAAGCTGTTTAAGAAGTCTGAAGTAATGTGGAGAGAGGCTATTGTTTTGCTAATTGGGCAATGAAGACTGTTATCAGCCCTTCAGCTGGCTTGCTCACCTGTCAGTTTGCTGCAGACAGTACGACAAAGCAGGGAGGGAGACTGAAAAGTTCTATATCATCAACAGATGCCTGCACTGCACACTCCCCCTTGCCTCAGAGTGCTAGGCTGGGGTTGGGGACTGGCAACACTCCCGCCCCTTGAGCAGGCAGCTGGGAAAAGCCTGGGACCATGCAAGCAGACATCCCTAATGAGAGAGTCCTGCCAGGGCCTGGCTATGCCCTCCTCAGCTCAGCTGTCTGCAGAAGGGAAGGGAGGGCTGCTCCAGCACCCCTGGCTTCTACCCTGAGCCACTGCAGGCATGTACTTGAATATCATTAGTTTAGAGAGAATGTCTGTCCAGTTTCAAACCAGTTCAGCCTAGTCAGGTTAGACTAACCTACAAAGATTGAATCAATTCAGGCTCAGGCTTTTTGAATGTCTGTCCCTAGCCTTTGTGTCCAGCTCATGCAGGCTGTCTCAAAGTACACATACCACACTGGGAACTTTTTCATGGAGCTTTTGTGTTTTGTTATCTGCACTGCTAAGGCAATGTTAGAAGGAACTGTCCATGCAGGGGATAACTGGAATATCATGCAGGAAAAACCAGATGACCTTGAGGACTGGAATACCAGAAACAGGATGGAATTCCATAGTACTAAGTGCAAGATCATGCACTTGGGAACTAATAGCAAGTATTTTGATTATGAAATGGGAGATTCTCAGACATTTCCAGCTGACAAGTGAGCATGTTAGTCAGCCACAAGATGACTATGATCTACCAATGTGATATAGCAGTGATAAAGGTAAATACCATCCTAGAATGTGGCAAACAAGGTAGAAACATGGAAGTATGAATGCCTTGTATAGGGCTTCAGTGTATAGGGCTTACCTGGAACACTGTGAACAGTTCTATGCAAACATCTTCAGCCTGAGCTACTTGGGTGATCAGGAAAAGTAGAACTTATCTTACAAAGGGAGAGCAAAAGAGTAGGGCTTGTGTAGCTTAGGAAACTAAAGGATGAAAGGATATGACTGCTGTCTATAAATCAGAAGGTTTCTAGTCATTAGAGCAATCGGGTTCTGAAAACAGCCTCTTGATAGGAGTAGTGGGGGCAAAAACCCTAGCAGCTTTTAAGATAGACCCTGATCAGTTTATGAAAGGGATTATATGATATGGCTGTCTGTTACACCAGGGAGCCAGACCCAAGAGGTCCCTTCTAGTCCTATGTTCTTAAGACCTGATCTGGCTTGGACATGCTCTCATTGGCTTCAATCAGAGCTGAATCAGACCAGTCTTCTAAAATAAAGATCAGGCTCTCTCTTCTTAGGGCATAACAAAACTGAAATACCAGTTTAGTTTCCACTCCTGTATCGTGAACCCATGAAAATTTGCAAGCGCTATTTTCTAAGCAGGTGCTAGAAAGCAGGCTTTCTGCAGCCTATACACAGGAATATTCTGCTTGTCCTAGAGACAGAGTGGAAAATTATTCTGTTGCTCTCCTTTAATTTATTTCAATGTTTGTACAAACCCAGGCTTATTGCCAAGGCCTCTGGCACATTCACATTAATAAAAAACTAATTATAAGAAATTTAACAACATGCTGCCAACAACTGGCAGCATAAAGGAAATGCTGCTTCCCAAGCTCTCATTTCCCAACTGCAATAATGTCATTGTACAAGTACAAACTCGCCACATCCACTCTCCAGTAACCTTGCTTTTGGAAATAACTTTGTACTTAAGCCTTAATTAGCTATGCAAATAGATGTAAATAACCTATTTCAACACGGACAAGCAGATGGACCCTACAGTGTGTTCTGCAAATGCTGGTGATCTAACAAGGAACCACTTTGCAGAGCTGAGAAAAAAGTCCACCATTCCAAGGTATGTATGAGAATTCCAATAAAGAGCATTAAGAATATAGGAGGATACAAGCCACAGAAGCCAAGTGAACTCTCCTGTAGTTAATAGGAGTCTTTTGTTTTTTAATTTACAGGGTTGCTGTGACATGCTGTATGACAAAGAACAGTCCTTCATTGATTTCTCAGCCTGCTCTGAGATCCAACAAGTCTGCCATTACTACACACACCCCATTTCCTCTTTGTGAAGGTGCATTCCCACCCCCAAACCTCCCTATAACACACATACAACCCTGTCTCCATCCAAAACATATGTCTGAGATAAGTCATCCAAAGCATTCTGGCAGAACTGGTGACCCATTAAGACAGATCAATATTAATTTTCTAATTTTTTTTAGTGGCCCTGCAGGCCAGATACAATGGCCTCGTGGGCCAGATCCAGCCCATGGGCCATATTTTGCCCTGCATAAAAGGCACATCTCTTTGACCAACTAAATCAGAAAGCAGAGATGCCTTTTTTTTTTACTTTTGATGGTTGCTCTCACCAGATTATATTGAAATCAAAGCTGTTCTATTTTTTTTGGTCCTGGATTTAAAATAGTTTAAAATGTTGATTCATTCCCTGTCCTCCCTTCCTTTCACCTACTGCTACCATGCTTCCATTTTGCTCAAAACTAAGACCAGGGCTATATCTCTCTGGCCTCACAATCAGCCCATTCATTTCTCTTTCCATTTACTCACACACTGTGTCATGACCTATACCATGATAAGAAGCAAGAGTTGACAATACCTGATTGACTGTCTTTCCATCTACCAGCTTCAGATACTTTAAGAGCCACCTGTTGGTTATCTTGTACTGTTCACCCCGATCTGCCTTCACCTTCACAAGGAACAGCTGGATTGGCCTATAATTAGCAACTAAGGATAGGGATACAAAACACCAATGTTACTGCTTGGCTAATACATGCATTCCAGGTGTGAGGAGATAGACAGACAGACTTTTACTTTACATATAACTGATGTGTGATGGAACAAGATGTTATAAACATTGCACTGACAGACAAAACTGGTCTCTTGCAGCCTTATCCAAAGTCTCTTTCAGTCTCTAGAAGGAGTCCCACTGACCTCTGTGTTTCCGAACAGATTCTTGTTCTCTTGCCTAAGGTAGATACCACTGCAACAGTAAGACTAAACCCAATGGGATTTATCATAGGTAAATGCCACATTGAAGGAATTTGTATAGCTGGTATCTGGATATTCAGAATTAAGAAATGGATGGAGTTGTACCTTCTTATTCCTGTTTTCACATATGCACCACCTCAAGATAAGCCTCAAACTTGGATTCTCTTTGCTTTAGGCAAGAGTGGCCACATCTACATGAGATGTTGACTACGTAGATGTTACTACATACGCAAGTACTAAATGATGGCACAGTAACTGGAGCTACTGCACAGTAGCCTCACCAAATGGCTTTTTGGTGACACTGACTGCGCATTAGTAGAACGAGCTACTGCGCAGTCACGTTGTGTCACACTCCATGCCAAGTGATGCTACTCTACAGTAACAAGATACTGCACAGTAGTAATGAGCTACTATGCAGTCAGCATCTCATGTAGATGTGGCCAGTATTAACTAAAAGAAGTTATCTTGTAAAAGGGACCCTTCCCAATAAGTTAGCCAAAAGGAGCTACATCTCTTTTCATACATGGCTGATCTGGGACAAATGCTTTTCAGACATTTCAGATCTGGGACAAACACCTCTTTTTCAGACGTGGCTTAAATGGTAAGGTGATGGGACACTGTGGAATGCATAGATCATATGAGATATAATATTTTCAAAAGTGCTTAAGTGGAAAATCAGGAAGTTTTAGGAAAAATTCCTTTGTACTTTTGAAATTCTTTCCTAGAACAATAGAGAAACAGCACTTGAGTTCTACAACATCATATGTGATGTTACAAGGTGTTTGTTCCAGATCCTTAACAACAGATAAAACAAGACAGTAATGGGAATAACAACAAGAATAATAATCTAGGGTCTTGCAGCATATTCTCCATCAGTTTACAGTGAGAGAAGAAAGTTGCTCACCAACTACACAAAGAACAGAGCCCTTCCTTTTCTTTCCGGTTTTCCAGATGTGGACAATTTCCAAGAGTCTCTCATTCAGGGGGGTGAATACATCCTTCTCCAGCAAGAGCCAAGGGGAAGTCATGGTGAACTGTGCAAGAGGCAACAAGCAACAGTTACGTACACTGAAGCTCATCAGTCATCAGAACCTGTGTGAAAACCCTTGTCTCTCCATCCTTTGGGAAAAGGAATTACTGAGATGTGTGTGTGGTACATTGATACAGACACTTGGATTCCAATGGTCTGAGACTGCATCACTATGCACTTTGTGTACAGAAGGCAGAAATGGGTTTTTTATATGGTATGGCCATACAAACAATTTACTTTGTGGTACACAGGTTGTGCCTTAATTGAGCACTGGTTGTCCTGTGGCAGTTACCTATATGTATGCTCTTACCTTAGGGTAAATGGAAGATAATCTGTAGCAGTTCAGCCATCAATGAGGGGGGTAAGCAGCTGTGATTGAGCTGCCATTGCCCATGTGGTAAGACCATGCAGGTGGGCAATGAAGGCATGTCTACATCACTTCCCTAGCTTTCCAAGGGGCGCTGTCCTTGAACATGCATGGAGGATCTGCTTCAACTTTCAAGCCCCAGAAATAGAAATGAGGCAGTTAATGCAGTCTAGGGCTACCTGCCACCACAGCTCTCATGATCTCTGGATCTGGTATGCATCACAGATATGGCTAGGGGGCACCCATAGGACAGCCTTAGCATCCCATTTTTGCGTATGGTGTATGACACAGTACATGCTCATAAGATTCTTTCCCTTGGACCCCCATGTGCGACTGCTCAGGACATGAAATAGAAACATGCAAACAACTGCAAAATAGCTGACACTCAATAAGCTCAAGGCTCCCTTTTACCCAGATATAAATTGTTGGTATGGCACACCCAAAGGTTCCCAGATTTCATGGGCAAGGGGACCATTTTGATCTTCTAGCTTGAAACCCTGCATAACACAGGTCAGAATGTTTTGTGTTTCCCCCTCCCCCCGCAATAGTTCCTGCTTCAAACCCATAATTCCTGGTTGAACTAGACCAGTGATTCTCAGTTCGGGTGCTGTGGCACCCTGGGATGTCTTGAGATCCTTTTAAGGATGCTGCACAATCTTAGGGCTGTTTAGTTTATAAACACCTACACATTATTCACAAGATAAACCCAGAGATTTCAAATAGGAATCCATAGTGTCAAAAGCATTCTGACATGTTGTAGTCTTTCCAAGGTCTTTTCAACAGAAAAATTGCTCTACTATCTTTCCATAGTCAAAAAATGAGTGAAAGCTAAGAGCTGGCACTTCACAAGGGGTGCCTTAAATTTAAAAATGGTTGAGGACCACTGAGCTAGACCATCATGTTTCAAGAACATCCTGGTTTTGGACGGTATGGTTTTGCACTTATTTTAACCCCTGTAACACCACATAGTACAAAACACTTAGAGACCTGTGCCCAGATTTTGAGAATATATTTTAAATATCTTCCAGTTTTCAATGCATCTCAAATATCTGGCATGGCATGGCCTGTCCCCCCATCCCTCCCACCACCGATACTTATTGCCTTGGCTCCCAGCATCCAAATGCATATAAAACCAGCACTGGAAGTAGCTTTGAGATGAGGGTTGCGGGGGGAGGAGGGGGTGACTGGTCCACTGTGGGGAGGGGATGGATGGGTGAAGGCCTGGGGGCCAAAAATAGCGCAGTGCCAGGGGGCAGGTAGGAAAAGCTCAACTTTTTGTAGAGCAGTTCCATTCACTGGTCTAACTCTCAGTGATTGAGTTTGAGCGCACATCAGTCCAGGTCTGTCTTAGACCAGGCTCCATCATTTCGAGGCCAGTCTGCACACACAGAACTTCTGTACAGGTGCAAGTATAGGTTGGTTTCTGATTACTAAGACTGGGTCTAGTGTAAGGTCTGCATCGGAGCAAACTAAGTTAGATCAGGTGGCCATTTTTAATGAGATCTAACCTCCCCCTCCCCCTACAAATGTCTGCATGTAGCCCTTTCAAGCCTCCCCAGGTTGCTCTACCTCAGAAGCCCCAGAGGCTTCTCAGTGCTGGATGAGCTCTAGCGCAGGCTGGGGAGGGGGAAAGGAGCTGACACGGCAGCCCAGGCCTACGTACATTGGTTCAACCAAGGTCTGGGAAAGAGCTGTGTGACGACACATGGGCACAGAGCTCATGTCACTTCCAAAGCCCCCAGATGGGCAGCGCGCTCCTGTGGCTTCCCCAACCCTTCCTTACCTCCCTCTGGCGCCGCTCGCTCGCCCCAAACCACCTCCGCCCCCAGTTTTCTCACTCCACCCACAACCCCGGTGCTCCTCCTCCTCATGGCGCCTCTGTCTCCCTTCTCGGGCCCTCATGCAGGGCTGCACACCTTGCTCAGCAGTTACAGGCCACCCACCTCTGCTGGGGCTGCTGCCACACTTCCCAGTTAGCTCCTTGACCCGCTGTCCCTCAGCTCCTCCCCCAGGTCCATAGAGGCTCTGCCATTGGTTGGCGGGGGCAGAGAGCACTGAGGAGCTGGCAGGGAAAGGAGGAGAAAGCAGCCCCCTGCCACTCCAGCTGCCCCCACCCTTCCTCCCTCTCCTGGGTTCCCCACTCAGTGTCTGGTCCTGGAGGAGCTGAGTCTCAGAGAACAAGCAGGACTCTTCCCAGGATAGTGCAACTGGCTTCTCCAGCCTCCATCTCTGTTCTCTAATGGCCTGCATTGGATAAAGAGCTCTGAATGGTTCTTCCCTGGGTAAAAACCTTCAACAATAAACCCCCAGTGCCGAATATGGAAAGAGCCAGCCCTGCATGCAACACTGAAACTGTGGCAACCAGTTGCTACTGACAGCATGTGGGCTGAAAAATCCTGAGTGATGGCTGTGGGAGGGAGGGGAGTTTGACACACACGTAATTTTGAGTAGTCAGCAAATAAACACCTTAATCAGACAGTTTCCAAACTGTTAGGGAAAATTCTGCCTGCAGACTATTTTAAGCAGTCCCACATGCGAGAAAATCACCTCCTCCAACCAGAAATTATTATTCAAACTCAAAAGTGCTGGAATTATGGCAAGTACTAAGAAAACAAGGACTTCTGCACTATAGAAAGTTAACATTATGCAGGTGAGATTGGGAATTGGTGCATATGATTGACCCTTTCATGTGGTTATGAAAGTTAGACA